GGTCTCAGCACGATGGAATCTGTGAATTTGAAAATGTCTCTTCTATCTCATTTTATAGTATCGGCAATCTTTTGGGTGAAGAGCGAGATGCAACGCGTGAGAATGTGGAAAGAAAACAAGCAAGAGCCGCTGGCGAGAATGAGGATGACGAGGAAGAACCACAGGTTTATTGAACTAATGGTTTTATCTATCAACATGATTCGGAGTTTTCAGGTAGAAAGCGACGAGGAAGAAGATGATGGTGTACCCTACAACCCCAAAAATCTTCCTCTTGGGTACGTTGCAATCATTATTTGCAATTCTGACAGGGGAAAGCCTATTACATGGCATTGTTCTTTTGCTTCTGAAAGGCCACAAGTGCAGTTAGTGCACGCTTAATATCTGTGAGGGGTTTTACATCATTATCACATGAATACTTTTGTGTGCTGGGATTGCATACATTTACAAGTATTACATCCCATCATCAGGTGAAAGTTTACAATGATTCTCTTCTGCTCCGTTAGAATATCTGCAAGTATCGACTTTTTTCATTCATCTGGTTTGAGAGCGAAGAACCTTCGCAAATCTTGCAAATCTTCCAAGTCACTTCATGACTGTGCATACGGTACGAATTTTTGCAAGCAGCGCATCAGGTCCAAACAAGCCACCTTTTAACTTTGCATATTGACTTCCTACTGGACACCTACCATAACGCGACAGACCACCTGCACAGTACTGCAATATAGTAGAAGATGTAACAACGAGCTAGCAGAATCACTTCCGGATGGAAGTTTACCTACGTGAACTTTGTGACGATGCAAACGCGAGCGAAAATGCGCCGTTTTGGAGGAGCATTGAAGGGGTTTTATTATATGGGATAAGCTTGTAGTTGTGAGTTGTTAGGAACAGCGATTGTCTCATTTGCATGCTATGAAAGTTTTTTTGACGCCTATCAGTTATTCAAATTCCTTACTGTTTTAGCTGGGACGGAAAGCCAATTCCATATTGGTTGTATAAGCTGCATGGACTCAACATCTCATATTCATGTGAAATTTGTGGCAATCAAATTTATAAAGGACCCAAAGCATTCCAGAAGCACTTCAATGTAAGTGTTCTTCCGTTAAAGGTGATATAGAAAACAAATTTTCAAATTTTTTTAGGAATGGCGGCACTCACATGGCATGCGCTGTCTTGGAATTCCAAACACAGCTCACTTTGCCAACATCACGCATATTAAAGATGCTCTAGATCTGTGGAATAAAATCAAGGGAGAAAAGGTACCGCAACCTCTGCTAAGAAACTTTTCCAGTTAAGCTTGAGCAAAGCTCTTTTTGATCTCTGTTACCGATGAATCTTAGGTTCTTCCCATGATT